AGAGGCCACTCCCAGTCACCAGTCTAGCTGCCACATTGTGGATTAGTTGTAGTTTCCGAGTCACCTTCAAAGGTAGCATTGCAGTTGTCCAAGCGGGAGATAACCAGAGCATGCACCACTCTAGTGAAACAGTCTGCGGGCAGGTAGGGTCTCAGCCTGTGTACCAGATGGAGCTGGTAGACAGAATTGACCTCCATGGACAGCTGTGAGTCCAAAATGACTCACTGGCTGCACACCTGGTCTTTCAGGGGCACAGCTACCCCATTCAGGTTTAGGGAGTCCTCCACCCCCTCCTGTACCCTGTCCCCCAAAAACCATACTTCTGTTTTGTCAGGATTCAACCTCAATCTGTTAGCCACCATCCACCCGCCAACCGCCTCTGTCAGCAAATGAATGAGCACAGGTGGCACGATGATCCATTAGTCCTCCCGTATGGAACACCTGCTGCAATTTCCTTTGTAGTTACAACTTGGCGACAGCTGGTCTCGTAACAGTTTCACTCTGTGGAGAAGAGATGCCTGGTATGCGGCTGAAATAAAAATGGATGCGTGTGCCAAGTGTTCGATTGAGTTGTCCTCTCCCCACGAGGCCCAGGACTCAAAGACCTTTTGCCAAGTTGATGTGAAGTTGCAGGCACTTAGAACCTTTGAAGGTCAAGCTTCAGGCATTAAGGATTTTGTACACTTGTAGGTCTAAGCTAGTGAGTTTCAGTGTCTCATCTTGAATTTCTGGTCCTACTCTTGGGATTTTAACAACTGTCTGGCACAGAGAAATTAAGTGGACAACCTATTTGTCCTTCATTTTGGGTGCTTCCAAATGGGGGATTTATATTGTAAACAGGTTGTTTGAATGTCACAAACCAGGAGAAATGGCAGGAACTTGAGATGGGAGGGGTGAAAAGGTGGTGGTGGGGATATTTCATGCTGATGGACAGCTTTTCATCACAGTGAATTATTTCCAGGGCACTTCAGTCTCAGTGATTTGCAGAGGAGAATAAAAACTATTTGTTTTTGTTTTTTTGCATGGATCTATGATTTCCTCAATCAGCCCTGAGTGCTCACTGGAAGGACAGATCCTGAAGCTGAGGCTCCAATACTTTGGCCACCTCATGAGAAGAGAAGACTCCCTGGAAAAGACCCTGATGTTGGGAAAGATGGAGGGCACAAGGAGAAGGGGACGACAGAGGACGAGATGGCTGGACAGTGTTCTCGAAGCTACCAACATGAGTTTGACCAAACTGCGGGAGGCAGTGGAAGACAGGAGTGCCTGGCGTGCACTGGTCCATGGGGTCACAAAGAGTCGGACGCAACTAAACAACAACAACAAATGATTTCCTCTGTGCATGCCAAATGGGGTGATCACTCCCCCCCTCCCAGGAGGAAGAGACTGTATCCCTGAATAGCCACCTGTGGTGTACGGGCTGAAGAAAGCTTTTGAAGCTCCCGAACAATCGACCAGGAGGGAGAGAGCATGCCAGTCAGGGATGTGTCTCTGCCAGGGTCCTACTCGAGTGTAGGATGAGCTCCTGACAGTATCTGCCCGGAATATGACAGGGTTCATCCATGCTAAGGGAGCTGCTATGGCTGAAAATTTAATCCAGTTGTGGGAGGGTGGGAGGTTGCAGTTATTTTTTAGATTTTAGAAAAACTCTTACTCAGTACCTAACAATGTCAAAGAATCATAAATTGTAGAGTTAGAAGGGACCCCGAGGGTCATCTACTTTAACCCCTGGCAATGCAGGAATCTCAGCTAAGTGCATCCACGACAGATGGCCATCCAACATGTGCTTAAAAACCTCTAAGGAAAGAGAGTCCACAAAATTTAGGGGCTGAACAGACATTTGGAGTTTCAGGAATAGTATGTGAGCAGTACACAATTTCGGCCGAAAGCTGAAATAGATGTGCTTTAAAAGTGCTTAGCTTTTGCCAGATCATACAAATCATCTTTATAAAATTTGTTGGTACCCAAAAAATTGAATTTTGGGGTTTTTAGCTGGAATATATAAAAAGGATGTAATCAAAAGTCCTGCGGTCGATGAGGACTTGTTATTTTCCATTACAAAAGTGCTCCAGAAGCACATGGGAAATCCTTATTGCAATGTTCATTATGACAGCAGGGAAGTCCCTGAGTACTACCCTTTCCATGGAGATACACACACACACACACACACACACACACACGTATACACACACACCTGATGAATCCTGCAGCAAAGTCCAATCTGTGTTTTTTTAATAAGTTCACCTGACATCCATAAAGCATGCTGCCAAGTAAACATGCACAAGATTTCACCCGAAGGATAATTTCCAAGTACATTTCAAGAAAAACCCAGCTGGCAGCCTTACTCTGTGATTATGGGATGAAAAGACAGTATTCTGGAGCAGAGAGGTGCATGTTTACACAATGCGTCTACTGTATTTTGTGCAGAGGGCACAGGTTATATTTGAGACAGCCAGATGCAATCTGTTGTCGATCAGAGTTGAAGATGGTGGCTGCTGAATAGCTGTCTTCAGACAATATACATTTGATTAACTAGAGCTCAGCATCCACCTTGGATGGTTTTCCCTTTTTCTTTTCTGTTAATTTTTTTTATACATAAAATCATCTGTGTGTCCTCTTTGTATTAAGCCCCCTGCACTCCTTAGCTGAATTAAAATTGTCTGTCTGCGGCGAGATGAGACAATATGAAGAATTCAGAGGGATTACGGTAATTATTCAAAATTGCATTGTGGAAAGGTAAACAGCCGCAAACAGCTGTTGGGACAAGTTATTCAGGTGCTTGTTTTTTTCACTTTTGAGGTAGGGGAGGAGGAGGAGGAGGAGAAGAAGAAGAAGAAATCAGCCCATTTTGTTGTTGCCAAGTCAAATGTGTGAAGGCTGTGAAAAACAGGAGAATTTATTTAAGGGAAACAATTGGCAGGGTATCTGAGTCAAGGAGCACCTCTCTGTGGGACAAGGCAAGATGAACATTCCAGGGCATCGTGGTAAAAAGACACGATGGTTTGAATGTACAGAAGACAGGGTTAGGGAGAAGTGGATTTCTCTGCTCCCTTCACTGCGCTGCAGTTCCCTGAAAAGACTCCTTCAAGGAATGTGGGAGCCAGAGATGCCAACTTGAATAAAATATCCCCCTCCAATAATCAATGACAAGACATGGGACATGCACACCATTTGAATGGCAATGCCCATCAACTTTGGGGGACACTGGGCCCCCTCAAATATTTTACTGGGGTGGCTGAAGGGACCTCAGCCCCTAGGAGTTGGCTCCTATGGTGGGACCCTTTGAATGGGGTGGGCTTTGGTGTGAGGTAGGGCAGAACATGGAAGGAGGGAGGTGGAGGTTACATCTTCTGTTTTGGGGAAAGTGTCTTCCACCTGATTTCACAGTATCCCCTCCCCTTTCCCTCTCAGCTCCCCATATCACTGTTGGGATATAGTTCCGTTCCCTCTTAAAAGGGAACAGGCATGACTGTTGTGTGTCACATGCCTGTTTACTTCCAGCACTTGCTGGGAACTTCCGTTTGTATATTGCTTTTGCTTTTAGCTGTTTTGCTGGAGACGAAGGGAAGCAGACATGTTTTCCTTTGTTCCTGAACTATGCTGAATAAAATGCTGTAGATAATGCTTACACATGGCTCTGTCCGCCTCTTCCATTGTGAGAAGATTTATTCACTCTGCTGATAGAGCGTGCACAAGTCTCTAAACATATCCGAGGCTCATGTCGCTGTTTGATGCTGTTCCAAGGGAGACCGGTGATCGCCCGGCTGCCGGCCAGTGGCTGGAGCCAGCTGGGGGCCTGCCTGATGCCCCCGTCTCCCCGGCAGTATCCCAAGATGCATTTCTCTTCAGCCAGTTCTGTTTCTATAAATGTGAGGTTGAATGTCTTACGCAGTTAAACATGTCAGCTGGAAAAAAGAGACACTCTTGCGCATTCCCATATCCATGCAGTTGGGGGCAGTGTTGCTTGGGGGGAGCCTGGTCTCTTTGCCAGAAGTGAGGGACCCCTCCCCCCCAATGCCTGGCCTTGCACTCTCTGCAGCAGGGTAAGCCAATGTAACCACATCGTAACCTTCCAGACATTGCTGGACTACAAATCTTAACATCCCTGACCATTGGCCGTGCTGGCTGGGGCTGATGGGAGTTGTAGTTCAACTGCATCTGGAGGGCACCCCATTGGCTGGCCCTGCTCTAGAGCCAGCCCAGGCTTCAAAGCTGCAAAGTGATGGAAAAGCCAAATTTAAACAGATGTTGGCCATGACCTCCACCACTTCATATGTATCTTGAAGCAATAAGCAGCTTTCCTGTTAGCACTTCCCCTCTTAAAATATTTGCTTTTGCCAGAGGGTGTTGCTGTAGCGTTTAGGAGGGATGCAGGTCCACAAAGCCGTGATTGCTCTTTAGTGCTCTGGTTTCTCCCCAGCCGTTTACTTTTCCACCCACTTTTCAAGGGATCCAATATTTGCATGTCTCTTCTCATCACCCGGAGAGTCATCAGCTACTGCTGTGCCTTTATTACTGTTTTGGACAACCATTTCTAGGACAACTTCTTGAAAGTGCTCTCACAAACCACCTTCCTTGAGCAAAGGCACACCATCTGTGGGAGTCAGGGGTGTACCAGTTGAAATTATTTCTTATACAGTGGTACCTTGGGTACTTAATTCGTTCCGGAGGTCCGTTCTTAACCTGAAACTGTTCTTAACCTGAAGTACCACTTTACCAGATGGGGCTTCCTGCTGCTGTCGCGCCGCCGGAACACGATTTCTGTTCTCATCCTGAAGCAAAGTTCTTAACCTGAAGCACTATTTCTGGGTTAGCGGAGTCTGTAGCCTGAAGCGTATGTAATCTGAAGCGTCTGTAACCTGAGGTACCACTGTAATCCCACCAAATGGCCACACTAATGTTTTTCTCTTGCTCCTGATGCTCACCTCAATCATTCTCGACCGTTTAAAGCCCTACCCACAAGCCCCAGGAAGATGATGTAAACCGGAAAGAAATCTCTGGGATAGCTTAATTGGCAGAGCATGAGGCTGTTAATCTCAGGGATGTGGGTTCTTCAAGCTCCATGTTGGGCAAAAGAACTGCCTGCATTGCAGATGGTTGGAACAGACAACCTTTGAGGTCTCTTCCAACTCTGTGATTCTGAAGGATTTTATTGCTGCTGTCATCCTAGTACAGGGATAGGGGAACCTGTGGTCCTCCACATGTTGCTGAACAACACCTTCCATCATCTCTGGTCACTGAGTTATGTTCCCTGGGATTGATGGGAGCTGCATCTCATTCAGCAACATCTGAGGTTAGTCACCTCTGTCTTTATGCCTTACTGTTGTGTTTTAAAGTCCATTGTTCTGGCTGATCCGTGATCATAATAAATATTAGATTGGAAAGTGCATTGCCAAAGAAATGTGGAAGATACGATACATATTGAATTTATAAATGATGGTGATGCTGATAATAATAATAATAATAATAATAATAATAATAATAATTAATAATAGTGCAGCTACACCAACTTCCCACCCTCTTTTCTCCTCTGCCCCTCCCAAAATTTGCTTCACTGGCAAACAGCTTACCTGTCAATCATTTAGTGGAAGAATAATGTTCCAAGAATAATAGAGAGAGGAAAATTCACTTAGGTGAATGGTTTACTAAAACATGTCCATCTCTTATTCAGATCATCTTCATATTATTTGTAGCAGGCATCAACCGGTAATGCAATCATTTTTTCAGAGATGAGATTTGGCAGGGAGACGGTCGGAGATTATTTTTGCAAGGAGTGTCCCTCTTTTAGTTACGTGGCAAGTCTCTAAAAACTGGTAACTAGATCAGGAAGGCGTTTTTGTGCAACTTTCCTTTCATGATATCCTCTCAATGCCATTACTGTACAGCATCAAGGTGACCTGCAAGATGACCTGCAGAATCGAGCAACAACTTCTCTTTCATTCTTTCTGACAATGGCTTGCATATTACTCAATGGCAAGGTGGACAGTGGGATGTTGCTTTTGTGTGGTGGCTATTTTTATGGACCTCTGGTTGGTTGCATTACTTCTGCTTACCAGGAGGGAGAGGCAATGGGCAAGGTTGGCGTGGTGCAAACACACCAGCTAAACCCACCCAGAGTTTCTGCCAGTGCATTTGCACCCCAACGACCTCGCTGCTTCTTCCCCTCTACGTCCTGGTAAGCACCGCAATTCAAAACAATCAAACACCAGGTGAATGGCTCCTCTCTCACCATGCCATCTGCTACTGGCAAGAGTTGGCTTCCTGATTTGGGTGTCCACTATTCAACTCTTGCTTTCAAAGGAAATAATGACTGCAAAATTTAACTTAATTGTGAGTTACATTCAGCCAAGTCCTACTCAGTGTAGACCCATTAAGATCAACGAAGCAAACTTAAACATGCCCATTTTATTTAAATACAGTCGTACCTCAGAAGTCAAACGCCTTGCGAGTCAAACGTTTTGGCTCCCGAATGGTGCAAACCCTGAAGTGAGTGTTCTGGTTTGTGAATGTTCTTTCAGAACCTGAACGTCCGACATGGCTTCTGCAGCTTCCGATTGGCTGCAGGAGGTTCCTGCAGCCAATTGGAAGCCGCGTCTTAGTTTCTGAACGTTTTGGAAGTCGAACGGACTTCCCGAACAGATTACGTTCGACTTCCGAGGTACAACTGTACAAAAATATTTATATACTGCTATTAGTTTTTTTTTTAAATAAATCCAGAGCGGTTTACAATGAAAGTACATAAACATGCAGTAAAAACTGCATTAAAAAGTTGAAATCAATCATTAACATCAATGGGTCTCTTCTGAGCAGTACTAGCATTGAATGCCCCTGTCACAAAGTAGTGTGTGAATCAGATCTTCTGGTTGTACAGACCATCAAGCTTAAAAAATTAATAAGTTATAGAGAATCACCTGACCCAATTTGGCAATTAGTATAAAGAGGCATCTTGGGTCAAGGCTGTCGCGAATTCTTTGCGGCGCTTTAGCAGAAATGCTCAAGTCCCAGGTTCTTCAGTGCAGTATTATTTATTGTGAGCTATATACAGTGGTACCTCGGGTTAAGTACTTAATTCGTTCCGGAGGTCCGTTCTTAACCTGAAACTGTTCTTAACCTGAAGTACCACTTTAGCTAATGGTGCCTCCCACTGCCGCCGCGCCGCCAGAGCATGATTTCTGTTCTCATCCTGAAGCAAAGTTCTTAACCTAAAGCACTATTTCTGGGTTAGCAGAGTCTGTAACCTGAAGCGTATGTAACCTGAAGCGTATGTAACCCGAGGTACCACTGTATATACCAATATCTATAGAAGCAGTTCAGACAGTCAGACAGAGTACTTGGCTGCACCTTAAGGCAAATAGGAAGACTCTTTCTCTCTGACCACACTCCTCTACACCACCATTACTGCTGGACAGGTTTCCCTTTTAAACCGATGACAGCCAATCAACTGTCAGCACATTACTACTGAGTCATTCTGACCCAGCACCTCCATAGAAAGTATTGCATCAGCCTGTTGCATCAACTAGCAAACTCAAGCCTGTAGACTTACTATCTTACACAGCATTCTGTGAATCCCGACAAAGGCTGCCACCTTCCCTGACATCCTTCAGGCAACAGATCAAGGCCTATTGTGGATTTGAGTTCTGATATATGCCATTGATTATACCATATCTCTGATAGTGGCAATACATAACGCCCCCACAGTGTGATCTTGAATTATTTCTGGTCCCTCAAAAGTTCCTTGTTCCCCTCTCATGTTATTCAACATGGACCCACTGAATAGCTTTGTGTGTTGGAGTATGGACTTGATCATGACATCATCTTCCACATATTAAAGTGTAGAATGAATAGATGACCCCTTTTCTGACCAAATTGAGACGTCCATGCTTTTATTAAAGCACTAATTTTCTATTATGTAGATAAAATCTACTCTAAAATCAAAGCACTCTCTTCCTGTAATAATGCTGATTTTTTTTGATTATTATTATTTAAATGAATGGCAGCCAAAGGTTATGCATGAATTTTAATTATCCATTATAATATGGAATTTGTTTTAGGCAAAAACTGTAGTTTTTATACAGAGGCAGATTTAGGGGAGCGCAACCAGTTCATCCGCACCCACTCTGCCTCAGAGGGTTGCTGCAGGGGGTGCTGTAGCAATGACGGGAAAATGGAAGGTGAGAGGCGAGGGGGGAGGCGAATTTTGGCATCGCCTCTGAAATGTTAAAGCCCAAAGTCTGCCACTGGTTGTATATCTGGCTTGGAAAAATAAAGCTAAGCTGTAATAATGACTGACATCTATAGGATTCCTCGTTTGTATGGCCTTCGTATACAAAAGTTTGCTTAACTAACTGAGCAATCTTAACCATAGGAAGTCAGTGTAACTTACCCTGGCATAAGGTAAAGGGACCCCTGACCATTAGGTCCAGTCGCAGACGACTTTGGGGTTGCGGCGCTCATCTCGCTTTATTGGCCGAGGGAGCCAGCGTACAGCTTCCGGGTCATGTGGCCAGCATGACTAAGCCACTTCTGGTGAACTGGAGCAGCACATGGAAACGCCGTTTATATTCCCGCCGGAGCAGTACCTATTTATCTACTTGCACTTTGACGTGTTTTCGAACTGCTAGGTTAGCAGGAGCAGGGACCGAGCAACGGGAGCTTACGCCGTCACGGGGATTCGAACCGCCAACCTTCTGATCAGCAAGTCCTAGGCTCTGTGGTTTAACCCACAGCGCCACCCACATACCCTGGCATAAGTTACCCCTATTCCAAATTCCTGTTAGGAGCCTCAGCTGCTATTAATCTTAAAAAAAATGTAAAAATCTTTAAAAATTTAAAGCACTGGGAACTTCAGTCATGGATTTCCAATTGTCATGTCTAGTTGAGCTCCAAGAGTGTTGGCAATGTTTAAAGACTTTGGGTTGCATTCGGCTAAGTCCTACATAAAGTTAACAAACCTAAGTTAGTCCTGTACATTAACTTCAGTGGGTCTACTCTGAGTAGGACTAGCATTAATACCACCCATTTACTGAACGTGTTTTGTTTTTTTAAAACACACCTTGATTAATCTGCAGGAAAAGTACAAGTTAATTTAAATCGATTTCACATATCAAATTGATCTCCCATGGGATGAAATATAAGGAATCAATGTTTCCGTACAGCTTTATTCTGAGGATATTAGGTTGCAATTGATGTGTTTGTGGTGTGGAGCCTCAGCTGATACAAAGCAAGTCTTGACTCCTCACATCAGAACAATAGAATAAAACAAAGTTGGGGAGTCTCGGGTCTGAGGATTGATTGTGGCCCCCCAATCTCCATATCAGGCCCTTGGGACTGTTCCCTGGGTTATGCCCTCTCCCAGGACACCAGCCTTTCTCTGGATCTTCCTTAAGTACTTTTGCCTTGTTGCTGAACCATAATAATGCTTTTTGCTTGCCTGGATGGAGGATGTAAAAGTGTGTGTGTGTGTGTGTGTGTGTGTGTGTGTGTGTGTGTGTGTGATTCCTGGATTGCAGGGGGTTGGACTAGATGACCATAGCTGTCAACTTTTCCCTTTTCTTGTGAGGAATCCTATTCGGAATAAGGGAATTTCCCTTAAAAAAGGGGAAACGTTGACAGCTATGTAGATGATCCTTCCAACTCTACAGTTCTATGATTCTGTAATCACTGGCCCCCAGAAGGTTGTCCATGGAAGAACATGGCCCCTGGGCTGATGAAAATGATCCTGCAGCAAAACACTAGAGCATCGTGAATAAATGGAGGACAACTAAAAACCAAGCAGAGCAGAATAACCTCACTTGGAGGCAGAATCAACAGGGCTTGCTAACTTCCCTTCCTGTGGCTCTCCTTGATAAGAAACAGCTGGAACAAGACCTGGCTGGAATGAGACTCAGCTGTAGACCATTGAGCTTCAGGACTCCTATTAATTCAGAAGAGGTGTGTCTGGCAAGCAGGGAGAAACTGGCAAATGGGGGAAAACACTTGGAGAAGGCTGGAGTGACTAGCTGGTGGCAGGACTTGGTGTACGGCCGCAGAGGATACTTAGCTGCCCCCCAGATGGGAACTTGCTCAGAAGGAG